TCAGCTCCACTTAAAGGTCTAGGGAAAAATTGAATATAGCTTTCTTAGCATCCTAAAGCAGAACTGATCGCTATACTCAGATATAAATTTAATGTGATTGACAAAAATGGGCCTGTGTAAATCGCTACGCCACTACCTTCCTCATTGTGACCATGGTATGCAAAGGAAGCATCCGACTTTCAGAAAGGTTGAAGAAGTGGCTTTGGACAGGATTATACCCCCAAAATGTAAATAAATAAAAATAAACAAACCTAGTAGTTGTCTATTAGAGTTACCAAAAATGGCAGAATAACATTAGGGAGAAATAACACTGCAAAGACATCACTTAAGAAAAATTATTATTAAGATTAGGTATCTTAATAATCAACCAACACAGTAGTTGTAGGGCTTTTATTGGTAGTTCTTTGAGAATGCAGTACATACATCATTGGACTACATTAGTGATTACCAATGTATTTGGACAATAAAGTGAACTTTAGGGTGCTATTCTTAAGAAAGAGACAGATACCCAGGTATATGTAATCTTAACTAATAATTCCTGTACTGTATAAAAGCCATGAAAAACCCTCTTCTTGGTCTTGGCAAGGCATTGGAATCCCCATGGCGTTGGGGAGCTTTTAAGTCTGAATCATAAAGTAACATCACAGACCAATTAATCAGAATGCAAAATTATTTTTAATCGGTTCCTCTGTGGATGTATATTAAAGTTGTTTCCAAATTGTGGCTGTGAAATTCCAACAAACAGCCTTAGAGATGTTTGCTTGAATAGAACCTTAGTTTTCTAAAACAGTGATTTTTATATCACAGGTTAGGCATTTATTTACCTATAGCAGATACAAGCAATGCCAAGCTGTATTTTAGCGAATAACTTGCCAAGTATGAGAGTTCCAGTTTCTTCACATTTTCACTTGAATTTAGGTTTGTTGATCCTTTCAATATTAATCTTTCTAGTATGTATGCTATAGTATCTACTTATAATATTAATTTTAATTTTTTCTTAATTCAAACTGACAGTGCCAGTTCAAGTACACTGTGCATTTTTATGGTATTTTATTAACTAATTTGTAGGAATTCTTTATATATCCTTTGTCAGATGTGTATAATGAAAATATTTATTCTCTGTGGGTTGTTTGTATTTTCATCCACTTAAAAGTGTCTTGTTTTTTAAAGAAGATTTTCTTTATTTTTAGAGGGAGGGAGAAAAAGAGGGAGAGAAACATCAATGCGTGGGTTGTCTCTCCTGTGTGCCCTACTGGGGACCTGGCCTGCAGCCCAAGCACATGTCCTGATGGGGAATCAAAGTGGATTGGTTCTCAGGCCAGAGCTCAATCCACTGAGCCACACCAGCCAGGGCTCTTAGAAATGTCTTTTATTGAATAGAATTTCTTTCTTTTAATTAATGGTCAGTAATGAATTATTATTGTTTCAGAATTCACCTTTTTATGAGTAATTTTTCCAAGGCCATGAAGATAGAACTATAATTTTTCTTACGCAAACTTTTCATGTAATACCTTAGATTTATTATCCAACTTAAATTATTCTTTTTATGCATCTCATGATTTTTTCTTTATTTATATATACTGTTCCATTCTGAGTATCCTTCCCTCTCCCTACTGATTCATATCACTGTCATAAATCAAGTGACACCACATGTATGTGTCAATATCTAAATTCTGTTTTATTCCATTAACCTATTTGTCTGTTCTTGTGTTAATAGTAGCACACTGATTAATAAATGTAGCTTTAGAATTAATCATGAAATCTAATGGTGTAATGCATCCAACTTCTTTCTTACTTTACATTTTCTAGGTCTTTGAATTTTAATATAGACTTTATAATCAACGTGTAAATTTTCACAATAAAATCTACGAGAATTTCACGAGAAATGTGCTGAGCCAATACATTATTTTGGGAAGATTGCCATCTTAACAATATAGTCTTTTTCAGTAAATAAACATGGCATATCTATTCATTTATTTAGGTCTTGAAATTCTCTGCAATATTTTGGAGTTTTTAGTTTAGAATCTTAAAAGTTTTTTATCACATTTATTTATATATATATATATATATATATAATGTTTTGAGCCTATTTTAAAATTTAATTGCAGGTTTTTTAAATTATGCAGAATTTCAGTTTTGTATATTGTTTTTGTAATCAGCCAGCTTTTCAAATTTCACTTATGTTTAATGTTTATAGACTTTATATATAAAATTTTATCACTTGCCACTAAAGATGTTTTTACTTTATCTTTTTTGTTACACTTCCATTTCCTTTTTTGTTTTTTGTTTTTCTTTCTGTATTACTCTGCCTTGGACATCTCATACTATTTGAGCAGAATACCGATAGATATTCTTGACTTTTCCTGACATCAATGGTGAAATGTTTAATATTTTTTCATTCAAATAATGTCAGCTATTGCACTTTTTATATATTTTTTCAAATTAAGGTAGTATCTTTCTATTTCAATTTATTCAAATTGAGTAATATTTTCAAATATTTTGCCATGGAAAATTTTTTGAATTTTATCTACTGTGATTGTTATGTGGTTTTATCCCTTTTTTTTCTGTCAGTTTGAAGTGCAGTCATGATTTTTGAAATAGTATTCTTGGAATAAACTTTAGTCTTTCATGACATAGTATCCTTTTTTACATACCACTATACACTATGAGCTAATTTTTAAATGTTTGCATCTATGTTTATAAGATATATTAATCATGATGTACTCTTTCTCAATAGTGTAATATCTGATTTCGATATCCCTCATAAAACCAGTTGGGAAGTGTTCTATTTTCTGAAAGAATATTGTAATATTCATGTTGTTTATTTTTTATTTTCCAATTCAATATTATTCTATATTACTTTCAGATGTATAGCAAAGGGATTAAAAAATTGTGTGCTTTACAGAATGGCCCCCCAGACTGTTTCAAGTACTCACCTGGCCCCACACATAGTTATCATGATATTATTGACTATATTCCCTATAATTACATCTCTGTGACTATTCTGTAACAACTTATTTCTTTCTTAAATGCATATTTATTAATCCCACCACATGCCATTCAATGAGCTAGTGACTAGATTATCAAAATAAAAATAACAGATGTGCTAACTACCCTGTTGTAGCTTATTTCTATTGCAATGAAACAAGTGGAATCATTCTCCAAAGTCAAATAACAAGCCAATAACCACAAAACATCACCATCACAATTACCATGTATTTACACACACAGTAAAAATAAATGACCTAGATATATCCTGTCATCTCTTTCATGAGAAGGACCTGGAGAAACCTCAGAAATAAAGCAAGAGTGGATGTAGAAAATTTTTGACCATAACCAAGGGGACTTATTTTGGGCAGGGAGGGGATGTAAAATAATTATTATAAAGCTTAAAAAAAGTTTATTGCAGATGGTGTAAGGTTCAAGTTAAGGTTATTTTATTTATTTATTTATTTATTTTTAGTAAATGAATATCCAAATGTTTCAGTACTATTTCTTGAAAAGACTATCTTTTCTCCAATGAATTATCTTTGCCCTTTGTCAAAAATCAACTGACCACATATTTATGAATGCACACATTTCTGGATGCCCTATTCTGTTCCATTGACCTGTTGGTTTCTTTTTATACCAATACTATGCTGCCTTCATCACTGTAGCTTTACAATAAGCTTTGAAGTCAGGTAGTGTAAGTCCCTTAATTTTGCTCTTCAAAGTTGTTTGGGATATATTTGTATTCTATATAAATTTTAAAATAAACCTTTTCATTCTACCAAGAAGAAGGAGGAGGAGAAAGAGAAGAAGAAGTTTGTGTGGTTTTTAACTGGGATTTGTGGGTACTAGACTTATTGAGGGGATCAGTTTGTAGGTTATATAAATGTCTAACCACTATGCTGTACAAGTGAAAGTAATATAATATTGAACGTCAGCTGTAAATAAATGAAAGAGTTCATTGCAGAGGGTTATGATAAAACTATGTTATGCTTCCTATCTGTAACTCAATATTCGCTCCCATTGGAAGACTTTTACATATTAATGGGGGTGAATACTGTATATGCTCTATATTATTTCCCAGAATTAACTAGTAGGCTGTTAGAATGCTGAAAAGAACATAGCATTCCAGTAATCCATTCAATCTGTAACTTCCCAAATATTGACTGTCCATCCTGATTTCATGCAATATGCTTAGTGATCAGGAATGACACAGAGCTGAGTCTCCACCTTATTTCTACAGTACAGTTCCAATATAATCTTAGGCAGATTACTTGAAAAACATTTTCTTCATCAGTAAAATAAAGATATTTGTACTTAACCATTATTCATAAGATTCAAGGATTCAAGTTCATCATCCAGTAATGCATCAAATTCAATAAGTGGAACAATTTAAATTCTCAATAAACGATTGCCATCAATATATACACAATGTGGGACAGAAGAGGTTCAAGGGCTCAGTATTTGGGCTTGTGAAATATTAAGTATAAAGATTTATTATGGCAATGGATCCATAAGAAAAGGACAGATGTGGAAAGAGGAAGAATGGAGCCTTATTTAGACAAGTAGATTTTAAAGGATATTTAGTTAGTGATGTCCAGGAGTATTTAGAAGAATGAATCTAGGCTTCAGGAGTAAAGTGTAGGCTAAAAATGCATGCCACAAGGTGTCCATCCTGTATCACTTCCTTCAGTGCACAGAATCAACTCATAGCATCTGTGCTTTTATTCTGTCCAGGGCAGAGGTGTAATATCTGAGCCAAATACTCAACAGAAGTGTCAGAGCTTGTGCATAACATTTACCATGTCTCTCCCATACCTGGTTATGAAAGACCTCTCTGTAACCAAAACAGTTCCTAATTCAAGGTCTAGATACTAATTTCAGGTCTTTAACTGTCTCTGTGGATTTGCTATGTCACTACATGTTTATTTTTATTCTCAGAACAGATCTAGCCTGCTGCTATCCCCAGAGAGTTTAGTGTCCCTCTAGCAGGTGACAGCAGGAGGAAAAAGATGCAAACCCTCATATATCAGCCTTTGGTGGCAGACAAACACAATCACTTCCGGCATTTTACACTGTATCCTCCAGTCAGTCTGAAAACTGCTCTCCAAAATATACATTGTCTGGTAAGTACTCAGATATTATTATCTATTTGGCTGTTACATTACTTTTAGTTTTTGGCAATCACCCACATAGAACTTCACATTGAGCAGAAAAACACCTCCAAAAGTCATATCTTTTGAAACATTGTTCTTTTCAGTGACTATATGAATGGACTATTTACCTTTAAGGGAATTAGTCTTCAGCAGAATTCAAATTCTCTTAAGTTGTCATACTGTCCACATCAGGTTATTATTCTTCTGTCAACACCATAAAAGTGGTCACCAATTCCAGGCCAGGAGAAAATGAGACATGATCTGTCAGTAATCTCTATTGTAACTACCCTTCTTAATATATAACTAATTGTAAAATAGCGAAAATTGTTGAAGAATGTTTATATAGCCAATTTTCAAATTGCAGGGCGTAGAACTAATGAATTTGTTTTTGAGAAGACCATACATGTATGGGATTTCCAAAAGTTAGAAAGAAACTGAGTCTGAAATTCTTTTTTCTTTCTTTAAGTTCAAGCTAGAAATCATATATTCTACCCAATATCATATAGGGTATGAAAAGAAGACTGTAGGAGGACCCAAAGATGATTGACTATTGGTAGCTAAAACTTTACAGGAAAAATGAATTCAGACACATATTTGAATGTAAGATAAAAATAATTTCTCTAAGGAAAAGCATGGCCAGAAGTAATTTTTTAAAGCTTTTATATCTGAACTTTCTAGTCTAATGTGGATATGTATGATAGTCACATAAATGCTTTGCTCTGTCAGAAGTGCTGAATAAAGCTAGAAACTTCAAAAACTGCTTTTCTATCCTGTGGAATTTCCAGATATTTATATTTTGTCAGTTCAGCATCTCTCTCTTTAATTGCAGAACCCTCAATGCATCAGAACAATTATCAACACATCACATGTTGAAATCACCACTTTCCTTTTGGTTGGGATTTCAGGGCTGGAATATGCACACATCTGCATCTCTATCCCCATCTGCATCACATATGTTGTTTCTCTTCTGGGAAACTTTACCATCCTTTTCGTCATCAAGACAGAGCCCTTCTTGCTTGAGCCCATGTACTGTTTCCTGTCCATGTTGGCCCTGTCACACTTGGGTTTGTCCTTATCTTCTCTGCCTACTATGTTGAGGGTCTTCTTGTTTAATGCCCCTGGAACTTCTGCCAATAAATGCTTTGCCCAGGAACTCTTCATACATGGATTCACAGTACTGGAATCCTCAGTGCTCTTGATCATATCATTTGACTCCTTCCTAGCTATCCACAACCCTCTGAGGTATAGTTCTATTCTTACTATTGTCAGAGCTGGGCAAATAGGAATGATGTTCCTTTTCAAAAGCTTCCTCCTGGTTCTTCCCTTCCCTTTCACTTTGAGAAGTTTGAAATATTGCCAGAAGAGCCAATTATCCTATCCTTGCTGTCTTTACCAAGATGTTATGAAGCTGGCCTGCTCTGACAACAAAATTGATGCCATCTATGGCTTTTTTGGAGCACTCTCCCTTATGGTACACTTTATGCTCATTGTTGTCTCCCACATCCTGATCCTTAAGACCGTGCTGGGAATTGCATCCCAGAAGGAGCAGCTCAAGGCCCGTCAATACTTGTGTTTCGCACATCTGTGCAGGGATCATCTTCTATCTGCCCATCATCAGCCTTGCCACTGTCCACTGCTTTGGCCGGCATGTCTCTCCTCTCTTCAGTGTTCTCATGGCAAATGTTCTCTTACTTTTGCCTCCACTGATGAACCCAGTTGTGTACTGTGTAAAAACTAGGGAAATTAGAGTGAGAATCATAGCAAAATTGTGCCAGAAGTAGATATAACAGCGACATATAATAAGACTCCTGGTGGCAGGTTGTCTTAGGGAAGATTTCAAAAGTAAGTTTCAAAGGAAGATTTCAAAGGTAATATTTGACAGGAAAACACATCAATATAATTTTTGTCATTATTATGAGATTTATTTCATTCACAATACTGGGCACAGATATAGATAGAAATGGTAACATAAAGTACATATCTTGAGTTCTCTCCATTAAGGGATATAGGGAAAAAGTCAGTTGTTAGGATAATAATAGATGTTTTATGATATATCTATGATAAGAGCAAAAAATCATAACATATATTCTCCTAGCAGAAGTGGCTTCCTCATCCCTCATGTGAAATCAATCTATATATTTCACCTTCTACCTTTATTCAGTCATCCTAGTATAAAGACTGGGGCAAAACTAGGTTTACAGCTGTGCATATGTAAAACACATAGCTTATTCTTGTATTATTATTTATTAGTTATTGTATTACCTTTCATACTGACTGTAAACCTACTTTTACCTCACCCTGTATGTCATCAGAATTTCTCTAGTGAAATATTGCAATCACCTCCTAAGTTTCTAAACATCTACTCTTGCTACTTTCTAATTTTGCAAGACAAGAGTTATGCCTTTAAAATGAAAATTAGATGATATGATGTCTCTTGTATATATGAACTCTTTCTTTTTTGAGAATAGAATTAAAGCAATGAAGTACATACTATAAGATCACATATTGTTTGGATATTCTCTACATCTTCAACATAAGTAATCATTCAATTCTAGCCCCTTTGATCTTCGTATTTTTGTAGAATTTACATAGCTCTTTGCTTTCTGTGAGCTTTCACATGTGACCTCTTTTCCTATGACTCCTTTTCGTACTCATTTTTATTCATTGTTTTAAGTTTTGACTTAATTTCACTGTGGAATACAACCCTAAATCCTCAGTTCCAATTATGACCCTCTTTTTAAAAATTTAATCTTTATTGTATTTTTTCCATTACCATTTAGCCTCCTTATGCTCCTCTCCCCCCAGCAATCACCACACTGTTGTCCATGTCCATGAGTCCTTTTTTCTTTTTGCTCAGCTCCTCCACCCCCTAAACTCCCCCTCCCCACTAGCTGTCTACCTGTTTTCCGTCTATGAGGCTGTCCCCATTTTCCTTGTTAGATTTATTGGATTCCACATACAAGTGAAATATTTTACTTGTATTTCTCTGACTGGTTTATATCATTTAGCATAATGTTCTCCAGGTCCTTCTTTTAAAAATCTCTTTTATAGCTAGTTTATCTTTTTTTCTTTTCTATGTTTATTATTATTTGAAATCACAGATACTATTTATTTTCCTTTTACTTTCTGAACAAGATGTATAATCAAAGAAGGGTAAATTATATCTATTTTATTTATTTCTATGTACCTAATGTCTAGCGTATTTGCCCCAATAAAGCATCTCCAATAAATAATTGTTATTGAATGAAACATCAATAAATAATTGTTATTGAAAGAATATATAAATAAGACCATATTTGGGGAAAAGGAAATTGTTGAAAAGTACAGAAATACTCTATACACATGTGATATCATTTTTTAAGGTGTTACTACAAAGGTAGACATAATACAAATGCTTAAAGATTTTAAAATAAGAAAATATAATGTGTGATTAAGGATGAATTTGTTTTCTTGGTTTTGATGGGTGACATACAGTTCAATTTACCTTCCTAATATGACACCAAAACCTTGGAGATCATAGATCAAAATTTTACTTTTTTCTTATGCCCATTTATTGACATGTCTTTTCCACAAATCACAGCAATTCTTGTTTCCTACATTTATATCTTCTTTTTTTTATTTTTATTTTTTAAGCATTTATTTATTTATTTATTTTTAAAATACATTTGTCTCTGCCTCCCCACCACCTCTTGCCCCCTCCCTCCATCCCTCCCTCAGCTCTTCCCCTTTGGTTTTGTCCATGAGTCCTTCCTATATGTTCCTTGACTTTCCCCTTCCCTTCCCTTTCCCTGTCCCCCGCCTCCTTCCCTCTTTTAAATAAAGCATTTATTTATTTATTTATTTTTTAAATACATTTGTCTCTGCCTCCCCACCACCCCTTGCCCCCTCCCTCCATCCCTCCCTCAGCTCTTCCCCTTTGGTTTTGTCCATGAGTCCTTCCTATATGTTCCTTGACTTTCCCCTTCCCTTCCCTTTCCCTGTCCCCCGCCTCCTTCCCTCTTGTTTCTGTTGATTTCTTTTCCTTTCAGTGTTGCTGGTCATATTTTCCTTGCATCTTTGTATTGTTGGTTAGGTTCCGCTGATAGGTGAGATCATATGGTATTTGTCTTTCGCCCCCTGGCTTATTTCACTTAGCATAATGCTCTCCAGTTCCATCCATGCTGTCGCGAAGTTTAGTAGTTCTTTTTTCCTTTCTGCTGCGTAGTATTCCATTGTGTAAATGTACCATAGTTTTTTGATCCAATCATCTACTGATGGACACTTAGATTGCTTCCAACACTTGGCTATTGTAAATTGTGCTGCTATGAACATTGGGGTGCATAGGTTCTTTGTACTGGCGTTTTGGTGTTCTTAGGGTATAGTCCCAGCAGGGGACTCACTGGATCAAAAGGCAGTTCCATTTTCAGCTTTTTGAGGAAATTCCACACTGCTTTCCATAGTGGCTGCACCAGTCTGCATTCCTACCAACAGTGTACTAGGGTTTCCTTTTCTCCACAGCCTCGCCAGCACCTGTTGTTTGTGGATCTGTTTATGATGGCCATTCTGACCGGTGTGAGGTGGTACCTCATGGGGCTTTTGATCTGCATTTCTCTGATGGCTAGTGATGCTGAGCATCCTTTCAAATGCCTCTGGGCCCTCTGTATGCCTTTCCTCCTTGGAAAAGCGTCTGCCCAGGTCCTTTGACCATTTTTTGATTGGATCGTTTGTCTTCTTGGAGTGGAGTTGAGTGAGTTCTTTATATATCTTGGAGATCAAACCTCTATCTGATGTATCATTAGCGAATATATTTTCCCATATGGTTGGCTCCCTTTTCAGTGTGCTGATGTTTCCTTTTGCCGTGCAGAAGCTTTATATTTTGATGAGGTCCCACTTGTTTATTCTTTCTTTTATGTCCCTTGCTTTAGGAGACATATCAGTGAAAAAATTGCTGTGTGGGATATCTGAGAGTTTCCTGCCAATGTTCTCCTCTAGGACTTTGATGGTGTTTGCGACTTCTATTTAAGTCTTTTATCCATCTTGAGTTTATATTTGTGTATGGTGTCAGCTGATGATCCAATTTCAAAGTTTTGCATGTAGCCGTCCAGCTCTCACAACACCATTTGTTGAAGAGGCTAATATTGCTCCATATTATGCTCTGCCCCCTTTGTCAAATATTAGATGTCCATAGAGACCTGGGCTTATTTCTGGGCTTTGTATTCTGTTCCACTGGTCTATGGGTCTGTTCTTGTGCCAGTACCAGATTGTTTTGAGTATAGTGGCTTTGTAGTAGAGTTTGATGTCCGGTATTGTGATCCCTCCTACTTTGTGTTTCTTTCTCAAAATTGCTACGGCTATTCCGGGTCGTTTATGGTTCCATATAAATTTTTGAAATGTCTGTTCTATTTCTGTGAAATATGTCATTGGTATCTTAATAGGGATTGCGTTGAATCTATAAATTGTTTTGGGTAGTATGGACATTTTGATGATATTAATTCTTCCAATCCATGAGCACGGTATATGCTTCCATTTGTTTGTGTCTTCCTTAATTTCTTTTTTCAATGTTGTATAGTTTTCTGCATACAGGTCTTTTGTGTCTTGGTTAAATTTATGCCTAGGTACTTTATTTTTCTTCTTGCTATATCGAGTGGTATTTTTTTTCTGATTTCTTCTTCTTCTATTGCATTGCTGGTGTACAAAAATGCCTTTGATTTCTGAATGTTGACTTTGTATCCTGCAGTTTTGCCAAATTCACTTATTAGATTGAGGAGTTTTTTGGTAGAGTCTACAGGGTTCTCTATGTACACTATCATGTGATATGCAAACAATGATAGCTTTACTTCCTCCTTTCCTGTTTGGATGCCTTTTATCTCTTTCTCTTGTCTGACCGCTGTGGCTAGGACTTCCAATACGATGAGAGTGGACATCCTTGTCGTGTTCCCGATCTTAGTGGGAAAGCTTTCAGTTTTTGCCCGTTGAGTATGATATTGGCTGTAGGTTTTTCATATATGACCTTTATTATGTTGAGGAATGCCCCATTTACTCCCATTTTGCTGAGTGTTTTGATCATAAATGGGTGCTGTACCTTATTGAATGCTTTTTCTGCATCTATCGAGATGATCATGTGGTTTTTGTCTTTTCTTTTATTTATGTGATGTATCACATTTACTGATTTGCATATATTGAACCATCCCTGCATGCCTGGGATGAATCCCACTTGATCGTGGTCGATAATCTTTTGAATGTATTGCTGGATGCGGTTTGCCATATTTTGTTGAGGATTTTAGCATCTATGTTCATCAGCGAAATTGGCCTGTCGTTTTCTTTCTTTGTAGGGTCTTTATCTGGTTTTGGGATCAGGGTGAAGCTGGCCTCATAGAAAGAGTCTGGGAGTCTTCCCTCCTCTTGAATTTTTTGGAATAGTCTGAGAAGGACAGGGGTTAGCTCTTAAATGTTTTGTAAAATTCTCCTGTGAAACCGTCCCACCCTGGGCTTTTGTGTGCCGGAGTTTCTTGATTACTGCTTCAATTTCCCCAGCTATTATCGGTCTGTTCAAACTTTCTGTTTCTTCCTCCTTCAGTGTTGGGAGATCATACTTTTCTAGAAATGAGTCCATTTCATCAAGATTTTCAAATTTCTTGGCATATAATTGTTCATAATAGTTTTTGATGATCATTTGTATTTCTGTGGTATCAGTTGTTATTTCTCCTCTTTCATTATTGATATTATTAATTTTGGTCCTCTCCCTTTTTTTCTTGATGAGTCTGCTTAAAGGCTTGTCAATTTTATTTATCTTTTCAAAGAA